AAATGTGTCAGGGCCCATTATCAATAGTTCTGGGCCCTTTATCAAAGCTGGTTCGATCAGCACAGTGTTTCAGACACCAATAGTATTTCGTAATTTTGACATCTTATTGCGTAGATTTTTCAAAATGTGTCAGGGCCCATTATCAATAGTTCTGGGCCCTTTATCAAAGATGGTTGGATCAGTACCGTGTTTCAGACACCAATAGTATTTCGTAATTTTTAAATCTTATTACGGCGTTTTTTCAAAATGGGTCTGGGCCCATTGTCAATATTAACACGGATTCGACTAGAGCTGTGCTTCAGACAAGCTCGCGGTTGGTATTTAGTAATACCAACCGCGAGCTTGCGATGACTATTGCCGTCGCGAACTCGGGCGAGCACGAGCTACGGTTCAGGGTACTGAAGATAAACGAGTTGTTAAAACGATCGAAAACACCAATAAATGTGTAATTCCACTGTGCTGTCTTTCGTAATTCATCTACTGAACCTTCACACATACTCACACACACACGCCCCACACACTCGCGGACACACTGCATGTTTTTATTGTTAGAAAATAACATGTATCTCTAGCTCCATGTAAGTAGGTACCTAAAAAATTATTATGATCACGATGGATCACTCACTCCTAAGATGTCTTAGAAGAGACAAATTTTCTTAGAGCGTGGCCGAATAATCGCCCACGCTCTCGGTCGAAGCGCTGAATATTCGGCTGCCAAATGTTCGGCGTAAAATAGGTACATTTCACGCGCGACCTGTTACGACCTGTCCCATTGCGCTGCGTGCGGAGGTAACGGGTGGGCTGTTTTTCTTGAAAAGTCGCTACAGATAATATACAAAATAATGAGGATGTGGAGAAAAGTTCTATTGCACATGAGATTGATTTTTATTTGAAAACTTCGCCTACATCGGACGGCAGTAACTTACAAGTGGTGGTCAGCAAACGCAAAGCAGTATCCAAGCCCGTGAAAATTTGCTAAGTTTTATGTATCGTCTCCTGCCAGTAGTGTTTATAGTGAGAGGCTATTTTCAGAAGCAAGAATTGTTTATTTTTATGAGGAAAAGCGCAATCGTTTGTTACCAGCCATTGCTGAAAAATTGTTTTCATTCATCACAACCTGCCACAGATTGAGTTTAAGTGTTAAAGCAATAATTTGTGATTAAAATACTTGATACATTTGGAATAATATGTACTTTTTTTCGTTATTTGATATTCGTTATTCGGCGGAATAGTCGTAGTATTCGGCCGAATACCGAATATGAAAAAAATGTGGCCGAATATTCGTGGCATCTCCAATACTCAGTCTATTTCATTCTCTGCTCTTGATTGAGGCACTGTACTGATCAACAGAATGTATATAAAGTATCCAAAAGACCCGATCAATAGTAGTATAGTAGGTACCATTAGTACATTGTAGTATAGTTACTATAGTAACAGTAAAGCCCCTTATGAAAGAGTTCGTCCATGGAAGTAAGCCACCTTACCTATTTCTGCCGCCAAGCAGTAGGGTGCGGGTGAAATTACAAGCACATGGAACTTGTCAACTTATGTCTTAGGGTGATGGCCGCAGAGGCAGTGCACCTCAGATCTTTGCGATTTAAAGCTCTGAGTGGCACAGCAACTGTTATGGACAGGCGTGTCGCCTACCATCAGCCGCACGACTTGTTCGTTTCGTCATTTAGTTATTTTTATATATAAAGAAGTATGAACATTAAAAATGTACGAGGAATAATTTGTATTACTTCGTTTTATCGACGACGTAACGCAAGCAGTGATTTGCAGTAACACCACGTTTCTAAGTAGTCAGCACGTTTTATACATACGTTTGTTACATGTCGCTATGCTTAAGTCACGTAATCGAATCGATTACAATCTCTGTTAATATTATATAAAGGTCATTTTGATTTTATATTAAATAATTAACGATGTCATTTTTAATAATATTTTCATAATATGTTGTTCTACACCAGAGGTTCCCAGACTTTTTTCTCATAGACCACTTTCAAAATTTGGCTGGTTCCGGTGGACCCCCTGCAGCTACATTATTCCATATCCATATTATTTTTTGTCACGCCAACGTAAACCCCGTCTAGTCTTCCGTGGACCCCTGGACCACTTTGAAACTAAGGTTCTACAAAACCTTCGTAAACTTTACGTTTATCGGCTTTGTGTTGAATTCGGGGGCAAATTTTGCGGCTTAATTGCGTGTATGCAATTACGTTCGCTCGGCACAAGTTCTTATTGCATCGATGGCATATACTATAATGCTTACCATCGTAATGGACGAAAATTGAAAAATTACATATTTAATTACCTATGAAATATGATTCCGTTTGTTTTGTAGTTAGATGTTTTGCTGTTTTTCCCACACCACCGAATGGAACAGCCCCCCATATTTAGAAATATCTCTTTATTACAATAAATACAGAATATTTTTGGAATATACGGAGACATACAGACAGCTCAGTTGTTGGCGCTGTACTATTTCAGTTTTGGTATTTAAAAGTGATATAAGGCTCATTTGCCTGATTAGTTGCCAGTGACGTATGGCCCTTATTTTGTCTCCATTTCTGGTTATATATTCGATGTATATTATAGTCCCTTTCAAAGATAGATGCAAACAAATGATCATATACTTAAGTTATTTATTTTATGAACATCTTTGCAGCAATTCTCTGGGCTAACAAAGGAGGAACTTTTGAAGTACGCAGATGACCCGTTTTGGGTGCGCTTGCGCTGGTTCATGTTCTTGCTGTTCTGGGCGCTGTGGCTACTCATGCTGGGCTGTGCCATCGCTATCATCGTACGTGCTCCCAAGTGCGCACCACCAGCCGCTAAGTCTTGGTAAGTCGTTTTTCTGACTAGAGCTAGTTTAAATGATTATTTCTTCTGTTTCGAGAAATCAAAAGAATAAATTCGATGTTATAAAGGTGCTTTTCCACCAGTTTGGTGAGAAGAGGAATTAAAGTAATTCCCTCCTGGCGTATCGTCTGTGGAAATGCTGGATTGACGAGGATTTGTGAGACGAGATGTGAAATTTGTTGGTATAATATTGAACGGTATTGCTGCTTCCACAGAGTTACTTTGCCACGGGAACACAATAGCAATGGCTACGACTTAAGTGCGTACGATTTAAGATTAAAAAGCCGCTTATCTGCAAATAATTGCAGAGTGCCCTGCAGGCGGATAAAAAAAAATATCAACCAAGTCTCTATTGATATTTAAATATTTTTATTTTACTATCCACAACCTGAACGCGAGCTGATGGCTATAAATGGCAAATTTTGGTTTAAATGTGCCGGCGAAATTTCAGTTCTCGTCTCGTCCCGCCTCGCCGGCGGAAAAACACCTTAAAGGGTTTTTAGTATGTCAACTGCATGAGAGAGAGGTAGTCGAAATTAGTTGCTGGTCGATAATAGCAACGAGCAATAACCATTGAAGGGTTTATAGCACAAATACACGGTGTATAATTAGATTTATTGCCACCAAGAATCGACTACAATGAGAATGTAACCCACCTGTATAGGCGAAGTGGCTGTCTCGTCGACATTTTTTCAAATATTTTCATTGAAATGATTACTTTTATCTATAAGCAATTAAATTTCGTCTGCTTCTGCTTCTGCTGTTTTGAATGTTGCTGATGCATTGAATGATCAAATTATGCACTATAAACTTTAATTACTATTACACTTAATTGACACAGTTACTTGTAAATTTCATAAAAATAATATATATATAAAAATAATATATATATTATATATATAATAAGAAATGACGTTCGTTCGGTGAAGCTCACTATTTTAACACACAATTTTCACACAATTTTAAATCCTTCTTCAAATCCTTCCACTTAGATACCGGCTCGATCGTGATTGAAATATTCGATTAACTAATCGATTACAAAAACTTTAATTAAATGCACCAATCGATCGAGTTCATACATAAACAGATTTTTTTTCGTACAGCACCATGCATCCATAGATAATCCATACTTACGTTTGAAAAATGTAAGTATCGATTGGACTAACATTTTTGTGGTATACACGGCGTGAGACCCAGACCAGTGTTGGGCAAAATTTAATTGATCTGGCAATTAACGATTGACAATTGATGAATTGTCAATTGCGAAAGAGCAATTAACGATTGATCAATTGTTAGTTGCGAGAAACGCAATTAACAATTAATCAATTGTTAATTGCGGTTCTCGCAACTAACAATTGATCAATCGTTAATCGCAAATATCTACAATTAATCAATTTTCAATCTTTTCAATGTTTTTGATTAACAATTAACAATTAAAACTGACAATTATGATAAATTTATAGGGCATATGGGGGTGAGTTAGGGCGTTGGCTGTGGGGGCCTGCTGGGGGCAGGTTAGGGGGCCGGTAGGGGGCCCGGTTGGGAACCCCGCTTGGGGGCCCCGGTAGGGGCACCGGTTGGGGCGCCGGTTGGGGCCCAGGTTGGGGGCCCCGCTTGGGGGGCCCGGTTGGGGGCCACGGTTGGGGGCTCCGGTTGCAGGCCCCGGTTGGGGCCCCCGGTTAGGGCCCCGGTTGGGGACCCGGTTGGGGCCCTCGGTTAGGGACCCGGTTGGGGGGCCCGGTTGGGGGCCGCTTTGGGGGCCCGTTTGTGGGGCCCGGATGGGGCCCCGGTTTGAGGCTCCCGGTTGGGGCCCCAACCGGCCCCCCCCAACCGGGGCCCCCAAGCGGCCGGAATTGATTTTAATTGCAAATTTAATTGCAATTAAAATCAATTCCATTGAAATCAATTGCAATTAAAATCAATTGCAATTGAAATCAATCGCAATTAAATCAATTGCGACGCGTCGCAATTGATTTAATTGCAATTGATTTCAATTGAATTGATTTTTTAATCTGATTGAATTATTGATTGAAATTTAATTGATTAATGCCCAACACTGACCCAGACTCAGCTACAAACTGAACATGGGACGACACTCCTCTATCTTTCAGGCCGAAATATACGCCATAATTGTTTGTCCGGATCTGAACCTGAAGAGAGGCTACGTTAACAATTATATTTATATAAACTCAGATAGTCAAGCCGCTCTGCATGCATTAACCTCAATCACTCAAATTTCGAGGATTGTAGAGAACTGCGTACTATACTGAATACTCTCGGGGAAAGGGATAATGTGATCCTGCGTTGGGTTCCTGGTCACTCTGACATCGAGGTTAATGAAGCAGCGGATTAACTGGCAAAGGCTGGTGCTAGGGAGGCCTTCATTGGTCCTGAGCCCTTTATAAGGATAGCACACAGCCTGGCAAAGCTCAATTTGCTGAACGAGAGCACAAACGTCTCTCGTGACGTGTGGCTGCAGATTAAGCATTCAAAAGCCCTGAAAGCTGCCTTCAGTGCCAAATACTGTAGAGCAGCTCTGTCACTGGACAGGAATGGTATCAGAATGCTGACTAGAGCCATAACAGGGCATTGTGGCTTGAACAAGCACATGTCAAATATTGGACGGAGAGAAAACAGAGAATGTAGATTCTGCCACGAGGCGGATGAAACTCTTGTGCATCTCCTCACCCAGTGTTGCCCTCTAATGGGCGTAAGAAGCTCCATACTGGGTAGGCACAGGCCACGCCCAGAGGTCATAAAAACTGTCGAAGCCAGGAAAATCCTTCATTTCTTTAATGCTGTTTGTTGGTCTTGGCTCCGTGTTGTAATTAGTGGTGATCACAAAAGATCAATTAATGGTCGCAGTGATGAGGGGCATAGGCCCCAAATAAAGCCACCCTAATAATAATAAAAAAAAACATTTTTCAAATACGATTTTAGGTTATTATTATTCAAATGAATATTATTAAAAAAATGATGAGATATTAAGTCGAAATCTTGAAAATGTACGTGAAACTGTCACTTATTCCATTTATTGAGTGATTACTTTACAATTTTAAACAAAACGGGTACTAAAAAATGGATGGAAATAGACTATAAGCACTTGTTATTACTTACATTCTTTTAACATTTTTTTTTTATTGCATTGGATCAACATGTCTATACCTTCTCTAAATGATTGACTTATAATAAATGTTAACATCGGAGTTATTTCTGGCGCGCATTTTTTTTATTAGGGCGAATGAAAGCTCATCAACGCGAAAACTGGATTACGATGTGACGCGTCGCAACAGTGGCAATACTTCTCTTTCGTCGGTCGGACTTAGGAATATTGACTTTACATTGCGTCCCACGACAGGTTGGCCTCGTGGAAGCGGCGTTAATTGGTTAATAATAATATTTTTCTTCTTCATTGTAATAATTCATCTTCATTGTAGCAAAATTGTTATTATTTAAGTTTTTTTAACGTTTTTAAAATTTCATTGGATCAACATGTTCATGCCTCTTTAAAAGAATGATTTATAATAAATATTAAGATTGGAGTTATTTCTGGCGCGTATTTTTTTATTAGGGTGAATGGAAGACCATCAACGCCAAAACTGGATTTCGATTTAGGATTTCGCAACAGTGGCATTACTTCTCTTTCGTCGACCGGACTTAAGAACATTGAGTTTACATTGCGTCGCAAGGCAGGTTGGCCTCGTGGAGGCGGCGTTAACTGGTTAATAATAATATTTTTTCAATAATAATATTTTTTTTCTTAATTGTATTAATTCATCGCAATAGTGGCATTACTTCTCTTTCGTCGACCAGACTTAAGAATATTGAGATTACATTGCGTCGCAAGCCAGGTTGACCTCGTGGCGGCGGCGTTAACTGGTTAATAATATTTTTTTTTAATAATAATAGGTTTTTTCTTCATTGTATTAATTCATCTGCATTGTAGCAAATTATTATTATTTAAGTTATTTCTCAACATTTTTTAAATTTCATTGGATCAACATGTTCATGCCTTCATAATACATGTTAAGATCGGAGTTATTTTTAGCGCATTTTTTTATTAGGGTGTATGGAAGCTCATCAACGCCAAAATTGGATTTCGATTTCGGACTTCGCAACAGTGGCATTACTTCTCTTTCGTCGACCAGAGTTAAGAATATTGAGTTCACATTGCGTCGCAAGGCAGACTGGCCTCGTGGAGGCGGCGTTAATTGGTTAATAATAATATTTTTTTCTTCATTTTATTAATTCACCTGCATTCTAGTAAATTATTATTAAGTTTTTTTAACATTGTTTAAATTTCATTGGATCAACATGTTTATTCCTTCATAATAAATGTTAAAATCGGAGTTATTTCTGGCTCGCATTTTTTATTAGGGTGTATGTAAGCTCATCAACGCCAAAATTGGAGTTCAATTTAGGACTTCGCAACAGTGGCATTACTTCTCTCGCGTCAACTGGACTTAAGAATAGCGAGTTTACATTGCGTCGCAAGGCAGATTGGCCTCGTGGAGGCGGCGTTAACTGGTTAATAATATTTTTTTTAATAATAATAAATTTTCTTGTAATAATTCATCTTCATTGTAGTGGATCAACATGTTACTTTTTTTATATTTCATTGGATCAACATGTTTATTATACTTTTTTATCGTCATCATCATCATCAATTCATTTATACGTCCAAATTCTGGGTACGGGTATCCTCTCAGGCGAGTTTAGGCCATGCCATAAATGTTTATTTCTTTGGTAGCTCCACACGTTTCCCGATGCTTGTGAACCTTTGACGTGCAGGTTTCATCACGATGTTTCCTTCACCGAAAAGCTCATTGTAAATATCAATTTCAATTTCGTACGTGAATTTCGAAAAACTCAGAGATGCGAGACCGGATTCGAACCCACAGCTTCTGTTTTCTATCTTATGTACATTTTTATGCCGTGACGTGGCGACTTCTTATTAACGCAGAATTTAGGATAAAGTTCTGACTGTGTCTACTTTGTTATCAAATATAACAAAATAATAATTCATGTTTTGTTGATTGACAAAAAAATCTGTTTATCAGAAATATAAATTGTGTTTTTACAGAATACAACAAATAATGGACATTGCTCATAAAATTTCTTTTTGTAAGCGCGGTTTTATGTTAGTATTTTTTTTCTGATATTTGTTTAGTCAATTTTAACGTTATTCAATCCAATAATTCTAGCTTAGTATAGTGATTCTTAGTAGAGTTGTGGGCCTTTCAACGTGTAGAACATTTAACATATAAATGTATTTAACATTATTTTATGCCGGTCAAAGGGCGAAAAACAAAGCAAAACGTTATATGGGTAATTTTCAGGTTAGTTTTACATTGCGTCGCGATTATATTGCTGTTTAAAGTTGCCATGTGTAACCTCTCGTAAATGTGTAAATCGGAAGAATGATCCTTCTTATTTTAACTTAAGTTGCTCTTGGTTCGAAAATACTCGACAAAGTTGAACTTTCAACCTAGACGTTGTCCCAACTAGACCACCCTGCTTTGTATACATGACTGTAGTACCTCTATATTATTATGATAAGCTTAAAGGTCTATCCACACATATCCAGGCCGCGCTCGGAACGTGGACGGGCCGTGCTCCGTCAGGGGCTCAAAAAATATCGTTGCGTATATTTTGTATGAACTTCTTCACACATGTCCGTGTCCGGGCCGGCGCGCGGCGCCGGGACGGGCCCGTAGTACGTACAAACTAGCACGCCCCGTCCACGTCCCGGACACGGCCCTGATGTGTGTGGATAGTCCTTAAGTAGTACACGTAATATTTACTAATAAAAATTGAAATTGTAACTTATAAACCACAATTGTAATAACAAGTTGCAATTGTAACTTGTATGTTACAATTGTAATTTATTTTCTGTTTAAGTAGGTTATCGAACTGGATAATAATAATAATTATTGTTATAACGTAAACTCATCTCTCTACAGGTACGAATACGGTCTAATCGCTGATCGTTCATCTTCAAACGATTACTCCGAGCTAAGCGACGAGCTTCCGGCATTGCAAAATAACAACGTAGAGGGAATGTTCATCACACCCTGCGCTAACACGTATGACGTACTGGATGAGAACAACTCTTGCATCCCTGATTTTAAAGAGTTCATTGAAAAGGCCAAAAAAAATAGTATTAAGTAAGTAATCTCTTTATTGTCACATACTCGTTTTTAACTTGAATGTTCGAATTACTCATACTAGACGTGGTAGTGTTGTATATATATATTTCTTTAAAATTCTATAGCCAATGAAAAATAAAGTTACATTTTCTGCTATGGAAATTCCATTATAATGTACAATTCACTATCCATAAAAGAACTGCCTCTGTGGCCGAACGGTTACCATGCCGGACTGCCACGCAGAGGTCCCAGATTCGATTCCCGGGCCGGGAGAAATAGTTGTATGGCCTACAATTATTTCTCTCATGAGTTTGGGTGTAATTTGTGGTTGTCTATGTGTGTGTCCATGGCACCCGCGACACAGGGTTTCCCTAGTGGGGGGCTATGTTGAGTGTGTGCGTTATTATTATTATTAAGAGTTTCAGTTGGTACATTGACCTACAACAATGGTTGGATATAAAAGATTTCGTCGATTTTAACGCTTACTTCGCTCTTTGTAGGCACATATTCATATAGTATGTGTACAATGATATATGTTATTCATTATTTCATTAATTGAAACCATTGGGTCAATGATTGAAACGTAATCTTTATTGAGAACTTATTACAGTGTGTATTCTATGGAATGATTACGAGCGATAAACTTCGTGTCAACGAGCCTCTCGTAATTCATTGTTTAATTAATTAATTCATTCAAGTGGTACTGGGTAGCAGTGGCGAGGCGTTAAATTGTGGGTTGTTTGTAATGAGGTTTAAATTCACGTGAACGCTATTCTATTTCCGAAGTCTTTGGAGTTGTCGGCTGCCATTTCTTCAATGTTTTATAGCGGACTTTTGCGAATGAGTGTGTGTAGGTTTCATGAATAAAATAGAAGCTGGGAACCGGCCGGCTTGACTTGCACTGTGATTAGCCGTTGGGAAGTTACAGTACGCTGTATTATCAAGGATAGGTTACGAAGGGTCGTATTCTAGAACTCTACTCAATGCTCAAGTCAGGATTGCAATTGAAACACAAGCACTGGAAATACGACCCTAATGGCAGGGACTTGAGTATGATTTCGAGTGCTTTAAACCATACTCAAATCCTTTGAGCAGGCTTGAGTATGATTTCCAGCACTGGAAATACGACCCTAAAGGCAAGGACTTGAGTATGATTTACAGTGCTCATTGCAATACTCAAGTCCTGACTTGAGTATGGAGTAGAGTTCTAGAATACGACCCTACGTGTCTATTATTGAATCTTTAGATTATCTGTTTTTTAATTTGTGAGGTGTGCGTGCTGTCTAGAACAGTTGGTATTACGTGGAAAATTATGACAAGCCGGTGGGAATCGACTTATATGGACACTTCACTTCACCTTCGGCACAATTTTGCAATTTTTTATGAAATCGCTGCTCATTCTAATTCCATTCAGGGCGGCAGATTGAAGCAGCTAGTGTCGACTGCTTCAAGCTGCGACAACATAGCAAACTACAGTCTTCTATGTATACACATACATCAAACCGCTCGAGGAGTCACAACTGGTGACTCCTTCGGGCGGTTTGCAGCGCGGTGAAATTTCATCGTGCAGTCAAGCAGTCTCAGTCTCAGTCAGTATATGCCTGACACTGACTGGTCGAGCTGTTGACTGCTTTCGCGCAGCTAACTCTGCCCACGCCCTTCATTCCGACGTCATCGTCTGAGCGAAAGTAGCAGTACTAGTGGTTCTTCCTCAAAGTTCATGTTGCTACTGATTTGAATGAAATTAAAATTATGACTTATTGAGCAGTTGAAAACTGCTCCAGTTGGTATCACCTACTCCAGCAGTCATCAATGGCAGCCTCAAGCTGTTGACTATGATTGCAAGAGCGATCCGTGTATGTTGATCATTGGCTAACTGTTCGAGCAGGCCATGTATGGCCACCTATTTATTTCACTTTTGACAGGTCGAATTTTTATCAATTAGTGATGTCCTAATGAGTTTTCGATTCGATTTATAACAATCTATTTTATAATAATTATAAAAATAATAAAAATTTAATGTGAGCGGGTTCAAAAAAGAAGATACTGTCTGATTGGGATCGTGATGTTGCGTTTGACAATTTGTGTACTCATATTGCATTTGATAATTAATATTAATGAGGATTCAAGTGATGATTCCCGTTCATATGGAGAAGTATCCGACGATTCGTTATAATAAACAATAAACATTTATTATAATTATTTATAATTTATTTAATTTCATTATAATGTATGATTTCATTAGAATAATTTTTGTTACATAATCTGTTGGCTCGATAAATATCGGAGCTAAACTAAAGAGCACGTCGCTTCACTAAAGTTAAAAAATAAAAGAGTCCAGAAAGTATTGCATTTTTTGTCTATGGTTGTATGTCAAAAATTACGGAACTTCGGAGGTATGCTGTGTCAAAAGTTAAATAAATTATTGGACGGAATATAGTGTAATAAATCAAAGTAAAAATGTATTTTAGAAAATCTACGAAGAGTCCAAGTAAATTTCTACAAATTAGACAGATTTTTATAACGAGAGTGCTGTTGCCTTACTATATTATATTAGGTTTTTTAAATTGACTACTTATTACAGAGTGATCGTAGACCTGACGGCGAACTTCGTGTCGACGAGTCATAAGTGGTTCCAGTTGAGTGTCAATCGAACTGGGGAGTTTGCTGACTATTTCGTATGGAACGTTTCTAAGGACACTGATGCTGACACCGGAAGGCCCAAACTGCCTAACAAATGGGTAAATATTTGTATCCATTTATGTTAACAAATAGCTTTGCTAGTATTGTTAGGTATTATCACATTTCGGTAGGATGAATATGAGCAACGAACTTTTCTTAATTTGTTCTCTTCTGGTTGTTCCGTTCTGGGTAGGACCCGGAGTTAATTTTGGTGTGGTTGTTTGGCGGTTAACTTCGGACCCCCTTATTATAGGGATGCGAGGCTACTTAAATAAGAAAAAGAAAAAATATCATCTGATGTTCTAAATTTATTATCAGAAAGCGAAATTACAAATATTAATATTTTAGAGGATAGTTGTAGTGAGTAATAAATGGTTTAATATAAAACTAAATGTTTTATTATTTTTCACTCCACAGACTTTATGGTACGACTTTCTCTAAACATCTGGTAAACAACTGCTGAAACGTTTTTGTAGAAAGACCGTATACATGTGTAACTTTAGACATGTTAAACAGTTTTGGGGTCAAATACCACACTGTGCGATCATAGATTTCTCATAGATAGCGCTACTGCTAAAAAGTCGTTGAAAACCAACTACAAACATCCGACAACTACAAGCACATGGAAAAATTTTCGAGGTCCGCTGATTCGTTCCGTGCCTTAGTTGGCATAGCGTCTGACACGGTTTACTAGGAGACGTCTGTTCAAATCCAGCCGGATCGAACGATTTTTTTCTAAGTGTTCGATCTTTGTATTAATAATTATAACAAACTAGTGGAGTAATTTTCCAAAAAATAATTGAACAAAAAATGAACCAGCATGATTTTCCAAAAAAATCATGCTGGTTAAATATTCTGACATTCAATAAAAATTAAGGATAAATGTATCAATCCCTAGAGTTTCTTGCTCATTCTTCTCTGGGAATCTACCTTACGAATGAGCAGTAGAGTTTAATCAATATGACGATATCAAGTTTAGTTTAATTTGCTTACCTATGAAATAAAGATTATTTATTTCACTTTTGACTATGACTTTTCTGCTTTTGTTTAATTCAATTTTTTTCAACAAGGACAGAAAGGCTGTTTGTTAAGTCATAAGATTAATTTGATTACTACTTTATATTTATATATTTACACTTTTTTTACTTCCATTTAATGTGCTGGTGTGTGTATAATTGAATAACAAGACCAATGATTATAGAACTCCGTGTTGGGTGGTGAGGCGTGGACATGGAACGGTCAGCGCCAGCAATACTACCTGCATCAGTACGCGGTGGAGCAGCCCGACCTCAACTTCCACAACGATAAGGTCGTCGGTCACTTCAGCCACGTTATTAAAATATGGATGGCAGCGGGCGCTTCGGGGGTCAGGTGAGAATATTCATAATGTTTAATAAACTACAAAACCTACTTTGAACACTAAAGAAAACCTGTGTTCATAGATGAGATCCGTGCTCTTACCGTTATGTAATGGTTTGATGATGAAGTTATAAGACAGTTATCTTTCCACAGGCTGCAAAAAGCTCGTCAGCTGGTTGTGAACTCGACGTTCGCTGAAGAAATTCTTTCCAACAACAAAGACTCAGGGTTGAAGGATTACAATTTCTACTGGCACACGCAGACCAGCGACCATCCCATGCTGGAGAGCCTCTTCGGGCATTGGTCGCATCTCGTTAAAACCATAGGAGGAGATGGTAAGAAGGCATTTATATGACCTATTTGAACTTCTTAGATTAAACTTCTTAGATTAGTTTAATTGAAATTCTTCTTAGATTAATTTAATTTTACTCATTTGCTGTCTCCACAAATTACTGCTGATAATTATTTTTGCATAATGTATAAATAAAATAACGATAATTGTAAATTTTACTACGCC